CATGAAGCGAAACGCCGTGCTGTGCTTATTGCACTTGCCACCAACCACAACGCGTATAATGTAGCAGATGACTTCGCAGCTGCAATACAGATGCTTCCATTGTGATGCGTTCTAAGACCCTATGTAGAAATCTAGAGATGATGGCGAAGCATAGGACCAGAAGCAGCCCCTCCATGCCCAGAAACAGCTATACATTTTCCAATGAGGCTGCAGGGCTCAATCATGCAGACTAGCTGTCTCAACGCTTTTGCAACCACATCAGTACTATCACACAGCTCCATAAATGATGTAACTGACAGAACTATTAAATGAAATTCTAGTGACACAATGAACCTTAAAAGTAGGGTCTCATTGAAAGTCGGTCTCTCACGAATGCAATCACCTCTGCATATGTGAAACAAAGCCTAATGCTCGCTCCAAATTACAGACACAGGTTTACATAAAATGCATGCTCACTGCCTTCACTTGGTAGCATAGATTACTATGTCATCCAGCTGCAGTATGAATATGTAAAAATTATTTCATCAAAAAAAAAAAGGAGTGGTAAGCCTCCTACAAAACATCAGTCTTCTCTGAAAGCAGTTGGAACAGAATGATTGAATGCCTGATATGTGGCATCACCTGTGCCAAAGAGCTTCATGTTATACCACACTACATTACCTTAGCCTGCAGTCTCAGTTTTTTTTACTTTTGTCAAGGTTGAACGCCATTGATGATGGGATAGATTCTGGGTCTCGGGAAGCTAAGTACAAGGTTCATGCTCATTTACATGGCAAAAATTGAAGGGTCTCCAAGCACTTTCAAGGCTATGTGTGTGCATTTTTCAAGGACCACACTGTCTGTTAAAAGCCCAATTAGCACATAGTCAGGGAAAGATAAGGGCTTGAAATAACAAGATTTCGTCGAAAAAGGGCAACATCACTGAAGCAGACGTCAAAAACATGGCTCCAATGACATTTTCTTTGGCAATTTTCAATCATAGTTTCTTAAGGTTGCATAGGTAATCACTTTCAGTATGGCAGAAGTTGTAAACTTTTATTAAGATAGGAAAAACTAAGGAACATTTTTCATGCAACGCTTTGCTGCTCTTGCTGAATTTTCATATCAATATCCACTATTTTCTACTGCTTGGTCTTGGCAGTTTTCCCAAGGCTGTTTGACGTGATAATGCAGATAAGTTCACTAGTTGCCTCCATCTTTTCTGCATGCAAGTGTCTTGTAGCTGTTTATTTCTCAACAGCGATTTCTACCTCCTTTTTTTTTTTGTAAGCACTCCGACCTCCTCAATGCCACATTTATTTTACTGTTTTTCATCCTCTCTCCTTTTCAGAGTTTCAAAAAAAAAAAAAAAAAACGCCAGGCCTGCACGGAATGCGCAGCACAGTCACAGCAAAAGCTGGAAGTGCAAAAACCTTTCAGTGCATTTTCTAAACACTCCTTGAGAAACTGCTGCAAGCACACTTGCTAGGTATCCACCCCCTACGCCATAAATAACCATAATTTCTGTGTAGCAGGCTGGCATTCATTACGATAACCTTCTACGTTATTCCGAGAAGCGTGGCATCCGCTACATACTTGCAAGAAATTTTGTGCAAATTTTTTATGGAATGGCCACGATTAATAATTAAGCCAGAAGAGGGTATGTGCCACAGTTGATAGGTGATCAAGAACAAGCTTTTGTAATGCATTTGAGCATTGGACGACCCACTCGTTACATTGTGTGGCGCCTGGACGTACCTTTGCTAATCTAAGATGCTTTATTACTCATATTAACACGATTCCTTTCCCGACATTAAGCCTGCGCAAGGCAAATTTGCAAACGAGTTTCAAGCACCCGCGTGGCTCAGTGGTAGAATACTGGGCTGGCACGCAGCAGATCCGGGTTCGAACCGCAATGTGTCCTTGGTGTTTTTTTTGTTGACTTTTTTTTTTTTTTCAATTTCGTGCAATAGTGGTTAAGGACACCGGTGGCGGTGGACAACTACGACGCCGCACATGATCCCGTGTTCTGGATGTCATAACAGCTTTCGCTGTAATATGCACAGTGTTGTCAGCTGCAGTGTAGGTGCTCAGCTGCAGAACCGATGGTCCCGGGTTCGATCTTGGCAGCGGCATTTCAATGGAGGCAAAATGGTAGAGGCCTGTGTTGAGTGTGATGCCAGTGCATGTAGAGAATATCAGATTGACGAAATTTCCGGAGCCTTCCACTACAGCATCTCTCATAATCATATCTTAGTTTTGGGACATAAAACTCCAGATATAATATGTAAAATGTAGGTTGTTGGTTCCTCACAGATGCTACTGATGTTCTCAATTTTTTTGTGATGGGCACATTACATATGCCCCCTGCTAAACTTATGGCGTGACCAATGATTCGCATTGAAATGTGTGACAATGTTTACTAAAAAAAAAAAGGAAATTTGTGGATTTGCCAAAATTCCAGCACTTTCAAGGCCTTGAAGATGAGCTTCTCAAATTCAAAGGTTTCCAAGGGCTTCAAAGGCCCGCATGAACCTTGCAAGTACGAGGTGGTCTTGATAGATGGCAGAGTGCACAAGCATACCCTACATGGAACGTGCCTCGAAGACACACACTGCAATGACGAACATTCAAAAGAAGCACCTCATTACAATCTGTGAACAATTTCAGAGCTGAACTGGGACCATGACTGAAGCCAGTGACCATTTTACTGAATAAAGATCAGTAGAATGAGTTGCCCACTTTGGCGATACATCTAGTCTGGCAAGTCTGATGTAACCTCGGGCACGTTGTTCAGAGTGTCCCGGACCCTTGCCTCCCTGAGATTCTGGCACTCTGCCAGAGCCTCAGATAACTGGAAGAAATGTGAAAGCACCCTTGCCCACAGAAGCAAGGTTCACACTAGAGGCACATGTGATGAAGGCAGCTGTGGGCTCCATCAGCTACCAGTGATGTGAGCACGGAGCAGTTTATTCCCTTACTCGCTTGCCCATTCGTTGTGGACATACGTGTGTGTTTCTATATTCATTGTGCCTAGCGTGGCACAGCCAGATCGCAATACAACGAGAAGCCATCACTGATGCTACCCGTATGTCCATCGTTTGTAGTTCATTTGGTAGGTTTTTATACTTCTTGTAAAATGCCACACGCGAGCTGTCTTGTTTTCTTCACCCACTCCAGGCATAAAAGCGGCACAGATTTGTGGTGATTAAAGGACCAATGGCCCACGCGTGACTTGTGTTCCTCCTCGAAACAATCAACAGGGCTCACTCCAAACAAGCCTGCACCACATGGAGAGGGGCCGTTAACCGTTCCTCGGACATTATCACTCCGGCTCTCAGGCAGATCCATACGTGGAGCGCATGCTTTCGTCCGCCGGACCGGTCCGATTACGGCGCGATAAGTGGGTTTTAAGGAAGAAAGCTAACCGGTTGACTCCGACGCACGTGCTGCTGTCGTCTCCTTCGCTAACGGCGGCCCACGGAGCAACCCGATTTCCGCAAACAGCCGGGGCGGGTCGTCAATTGCACGGCCTTAGCGGAAGGCCAGGCGTCGCACCGCCAAGGACACGACGCAGCGTCGTAATTTCTTGTACAACAGAGCCAAGCCGCCAGACCCCATCAGACAAAATACAGCGAGCCGCCTAATGCACCGACAACCATCGTGACGCGCATTTGAAGCGCTGCTCGAAACGAACCGTGATGGGCTTCAGGCGGAAGCCCGGTGAAACGGCAACGCTCTACAGCGCCCGTCAAATCCCCGCGAGTACGCTTTTTATATGTTGGTTTGTGTTTCCAGAAAAGAACTTCACGGCAATTTGTCTTTGAGGGGATGCCACTGGCTGCTCTGTGCGCTCATTTGTTTCGTCTTTATTATTTTTTCTCTGCATGGACCGAGCACGGGACCCCTGGCCTGGTAACGCAGCATAGCACCATTCCCGAGCTAGGGCGCCCTCAAAATGTCAAGACGCCCTCGTCCCCAAATGGAAATCCTCAGTGCGTACACACACACACACCGTTAGAGGTCACGCACACATTTCGATATCCAGTTCGTCAATTGCATGCCGAACGCGAAGCGTGTCGAACGTTACGACAGCATGGACCTGGTGGCGAGTGCGCGAGCATCAGGGACGCGTTCGGGTTGCTTTTCAGGGCTACAGCAACACAAGGATACACGATCGCCGACCAAGAGTAACGCAACACCACGGCCTTCAGTCGGCGCAGATCTACTTTACACGAGCGAAGGACTCGTGAAATTGAATCAAACTTCTCTAATCCGCAGCGAACGCACGCGATGGGACCTTGCGTTTGAATGAACATCAGCTGCGCTGCGCTAAATTCACGGTAGAACAGTACGGAAGAACCAGTTTTTTCGGCCAGATATTCCAGTGCCGGAAGACGCTTCCGGGCGTTACTTGTCGAGGACCGGTACTAGGCGTTATACGGGAAACGTTATTAGAGTCTTCCTGAAAGACTGCGGCAGACGCGCGAGCGATCGTACGAGAATGGGGCGGCAGCCGCCCCAGTCACGCCGACACGCCCAAGCGACAGCTGCGAGCGCGATCCGCAAACACGAGCTTCAGCCGGTCTTTGGCACCGCTTATCGGCGCAAGCCAGGCTTGCTCATCGATAATCGCGGAATGAATGAGTCAGGAAACGCCTCTCGACATGACGCCGCAGGCTGCACCGCGCGCGAAGTAGCGTCCGCGAAAACAGTCAAACGAATTTCACCCCGTTACATTGGTACAAGGTGGAACGATCCGCCCGCGGAGAACATTGCCCCACGCAACCGGCAAAAACGTGGGTTCGCAGCCACGAAAAAGAACGACCCGATCATTCGACTACTGCGCGTTCGCACAGGGATCTGAACGCATTCTCGGTCAATCAAGCAATGGCCCGATCACTGCTTCTCAGGCCGTAAACGTCGGGCAAAAAATGAAACAAGCGCGATACATCGCGGAACACAGGAGTTCAGCGATACTGAACAAATCCGCCGATTCAGAGTCAAAGATTAGGCCTTACCTTTCGAGCGTATAGCGTATAACGAGAAGTACTAGAGCCACCAGGAATCCATAGTACAGGTCATCAAACTGGGCGTATTTAACTTTCTCCGTATTCTTAATGTCCGCCCATGTGAAGTTCGGAGGCAACCAAACATCTTCATTCCAAAACCACTTCCCAAACCGCTGCACAACACCCCCCGCCATTTCCGACTCTCGAGTGAAGACCTCCGTTTATTCGCGCACCGCGCGAGACGCCGCGGGATTTGCGAGTGACGAAAACGTGAATCGGCGAGACTTCTGCAAGAGGTCGCCACTTTCCTTTCGTCCGCCGATCTCCGTGAGGAGGACCGCGTATAATCCGTAGGTGCAATTTCTATCTTCGTTAATCCGAAATTTAATGCTGTTTTCTTGTGCAAAACCATCGAAATAACCGGTACCATTAATTAAAGAAATACTTCTATGCGCAATCGCTTTTCATCGAACTGTGAAGATGGAGTACGACTAGAGTTCAGATGCCGGAGCGTGCATGAGAATGAACCCGCAGCAACCTATCAAAAACGCTGTTTTCATGCTTGTTTAGCCGTCGTGCGGGTTTGCGTTTGTCCGTGCTGTCGAAATTCGCTTGACGAGATTCCGTAAAGTTCGTGAATTTGCCATTGATTGAAACCATTTGCTTTTGGTTGCAGAAAATGGGGAAGATTATGCGACCAAACAAGGTGGTGCTGATCCTCAGCGGAAAGTACGCCGGCAGGAAAGCTGTCATCGTTAAGGTAAGCGTTAAGTTAGATGCGTATTCTGAAGTGACTGCTAGTGAAGTGCTGCAGAGTGGGTGATGAAAGGCAGTGCAGTGACACTTTGAAGCCTCTTGACAAGTTGCATGCTTATGAAAGTGAAGTTTGATCGAGAAGTTTAACGTGGCACAAAGCCTGACGTGGCCTCACCCCTAATAACTTAAACAGTCTGCATCAGTGACATATACATTTACACATCAGCGCAACAGAACAGTAAGTTCAAAAAGTTCCGCCTCCGGTGCCCAGGTTTACCCGAGGATAACACTGCATTGATGTGTGCACCGACTGTTGGTGCATCTGACCCCAAATGGTCACTGCACCAAGTTTTGCTCGCTTGTTGCGGAAACCGTAACGTACGACGCTCTGTTTGCAGAACAACGATGACGGCACGCCAGACAAGCAGTACGGCCATGCCCTGGTGGCAGGTATCGACCGCTATCCACGAAAGGTGACCCGGAGAATGGGCAAGAAGAAGCTGACCAAGTACAGCAAAATCAAGCCTTTCCTGAAGGTGTACAACTACAACCACCTTATGCCTACCCGGTGAGTAATGGACATGTTTGCTGCTGCTCCGTTGGCTTGAGTGGGCGGTAACAAAATGTAAACGAACGTTGCTTCACATCACTTTTGTGCTCTGCCTTGTTTTGGATATGGCGAGTTGTCAGCCAGTAGTGGACGGATTTGCTTCAAACTTGTTTCCACATGGCTAATACCACAGTTTAGTCAACATGTATAGATTCTGAAGAAGTTGTCTGCTCAAGTTTTAAACTAGGAAGACCAGTTACTCAAGTTATCCATGCAACCAGTAGGATGGTGAATAGGTACCTTTGTGTGTACCATTAGTTGTCATAGTAACTCGTTAGGCCACACACTAAATTCCGTATATGCTCCTGGTAATCACAAGACTGCGATTGACGTGCTTTTTGCTTGTAGTTCTGAGGTTGTGGCTCCATATCCTGACTGTTTGCTATTTCGTGCGGGCAAAGTACAAAGAGGATTCATGCACAGAGTGGTCCACTGTTAAAAGAGCGCATTGGAGCTCAAGCAGCTGGCATTGGCTCTAAGCAGTCGCTGTGCACTTTGCTTCAGGAGTGGACCACTGCTTACTTAAAATTGGGTGCTTGTTGCTGAGTCTCATATTGTCAAACATTATTGCCTTTCACTACAGTGTCCCTCTTTTAATCCTCATTTTGGTTCGGAACATCAGAATTCCACAAAACAGAAAGGCATGAATCGGGCAAACATGGAACAAAGAGAACCAGTGTCAGTCTTTTTTACCCTACTACTAGTCCTTACAAAAGTACTGTTAGCATCAAGCTGAACACAATGCAAGAATTTTTTACCTGTAGCTCAAACATACGCAGTAGCGTTGTTTCACGAATGTACCTACCACAACAAATCAACAATGTCACTTTTGATGGCTTGTTTTCGTATCGTGAAATGTGACAATATAGGTATAGTGGCCCAGCTCGAAACAGCCAGAAAAACTGTGTATAATTTTATTTGAATGGGGTGACTGCCATCTCCTCATAATACGACAACGCTCTGTGGTAAATGTTTTGCATCAGAAGCGATGTGTGATCACTCAACAGTCACACCTGTGTCTGTGCATTTGACTTGACATGCGAAGTTATATGTAACATTCACGTGGTTCTGGCTGGCGACACAATTGTTAAGTAAAGAATATAGAACATTTTTTATACTGTAATGCATACTAAAGGGTTTGTGTATTCAAATATTTTTAAAACTGCAGCACAACACTGTCTGCTACGCAGCTCTCTGTAACAGGCTCATAGTGATTCAAAGGTGTCAGTGATGTCACTGGGAGAGGTAAATGCAAAAAGGAACAAGTTGTCTGCTCAAGTTTTAAACTAGGAAGACCAGTTACTCAAGTTATCCATGCAACCAGTAGGTTATTTTGTGTGTTGATTTTGGTATTGAATGCTACACACACTCAAAATCTGCAGAATACTGAGTAGAAATATTGCTGGGCAAGGTCACATACATACCAGAGTCAAAGAACTTACCTGTATTTACTCGTTATAATCATCGCACTTTTTTTGCCAGAATATCGATGCAAAGTTGTGGGGTGCGAGAATTACGCGGGGAAAACTTTCCACGAAAATGCAGAGAGCGAAAAAGCAAACGAAGTGGCCGCAAATCGGGATTCTCACACCAGCAACTTACAGCAAGCTTTAAGAAGTGCTAATTAGAACTTACCTCAACAATAAAAGCAGAGGTTCAACACAAGGCAAGATTTATTTGAGACACAAAACATGGAAGCAAATAGTCGATAATTAGAATACTATACGCGAAGCTTGTGGGCGTTGCGGGCGTAGCGGTCGCGGTCAGCGCTCAATAGGAGCACTCAAAACGTAAGCGTAGGATGTCAGTATTGGGCTGATAACTATTTAACAGAATCGTCCGCAGTTTCCTTCTGAAGAAATAAAGTTTACCATCAATCCCAGTTTTAGGCATACGGCAGGCCCAACGCGTCTTGGTGGATTTCAGCTGCAGCCACCAGTAGCAGAAACAAAACTCGTAGGCTCCGAAGAACCTACCGGCAGCCCTGTTGCCGTTGTTTAGTGCATGATCTATCACTTGCACTTTGAAGCAGCCGTGTGGCTTCAGTATCGCCCCATAACGTGCCAAGATTAGCGACACAACATACAAAACACGCCGCAACGCGCACTGGCCACTTTGGCTTGGCTTAGACTGGATTGGATCTCCGTGCAATAGTACGCTTGATGCTTAAGAGATGGCGCCAGATGGTGTGCACTATCATCATTAATGGCTAGAACGAGCAGACCACATTATTGGGGCAGTTTTCAGGGGTGCGATAATTGCTCGAGGGAAAAAAATCGTATTTTTTCTTGGGTGATGTGGGGGGTGTGAGAATTATGCAAGTGCGAGGATTACGCGAGTAACCACGGTACTGATGGCCTGTGTCCTGTTGGATGATGCAGCCAGGTTAGCACTGTGGAATGACTGCATAACGTAGAAGTAGGGCCTTATCAGATTATTGCAGTGGTGTTTCTGCCATGAATTTCGCATTGCAAGTGTGTCATTTCAGCTTTGCTAGCTTGTCGTCTTTCCTTTTCAGCAATTTTCAGTTTCGGTTAGCATGTTCACCTTTTGGCATAGTTACACATGCAACTGTGTTAGACAGGAAGCCTAGCTGCTCAAGTGTAAATTACTGAAGCCAAATTGCCCAGCAAATATGAGAGATCTGCAAGCTCTGTCTGTAAAGCCCCCCCCCCCCCCCCTCCTTTTTTTTGTATATGATGCCAGCTTTTTTATTATATACAATGAAAGCAAGCTATGGCTTCACCAGTGCCTCGCCTGAGAAAACCCTCCTTACTTTTGAGCTTTGCAAAGGGGCGCACATGACTGAAATTTTCTTATATATTCACACGATGCCTACGTGTTTTTACCCATTTTTGAGCCAATCAGACATGCTGTAGTAAATCAGGGCCTCAATGTATTGTGGAAATTACTGTCCTATTGTTGCTATTGTCTCAAACACGGAGGTGAAGTTGTAAATAAGTATACAAGCTTGGGTGTCAAGTCTGCATCCTGGTATTTTGTGTCCGCTTGCTATATAAAAACAGACAGTGTTCTAATGTAAAGTACACAACACTTTATTGCCTCTGGCGGCACCCCGAACAACAGTACAACGTCCGCTCCCGGGACGCGGGTAGCAAAGGCACCCGCACGCGGACGTTCACAATAAGGGGAAAACCGCGAGCACGTCGCAGCTGGCAATGGCGAGCTTTGACACGCCGGTCGGGAAAAGGTCCCTCACAGCTATGCTGCGCACTCTCACGATGGCCACTGGGCCCGGTCGCGAGTGTTAGGGCAAACCTCGTACGCGCTGGGCCTACGGCAAGTGCGGCTCGTTGTGGTACGACCACTTCAAGCACTAGGCACCGCTGTGGGCTTAGCGTACGCTACCGAAGCTAGCACTCAAGTAAACACGCCTGCCGAGGTGCCCAAGGCCACCCCAGGCAGGCTGCAGTCCGGCGATTCCCAAAGGGGACGCGGACGAAGGAAAACACGTGCTTACCCGGCGCCGACCAACGGAGAAAAGACCGCTCTCTCGGCGTATACAAGATTGGGTGTCAAGTTGCATACTGGTATGGTTGGGTCCGCCTGCATTATTTAAAAGACATATTAGCGCTTTTCATCTTCTGTTATGATACCATAATTTAGATCAGGTTGGTGTAAATTTTTGCAACGCTGACACAATAATTCAAACATTACCACTGGTAGCATGGTTTCGCTATCCACTTTAGATTAATCATTGTGATGGTATAATGTGCACAACAAAAGTGTTCGCAGTTAAGGGGGCAGACTGGTCTTAGGCATATTTTGTTTATTTCTTCAGGGATCTTGATCTAATTGCACAGGATTAGAGTTCTTTCTGCTGATTTCAAATATTTAATTAGTT